CAAAAAGTTCTCGGCCTCACCTAGAAAACGTTAGGGCAGTAAAATTTTTCTTACACTATTTTTTAATATAGTCCTCTCTAACTGCAATGCACTTGGTCCAGTGATGTTCCAGCTTTATTTTCCCATTGTGGAAGAAGGTTGCATCTGGACCCCCCAGATTGGCCTATACCGCATAGATGACGTCATCATTACCATCAAAACGTTGACCACATAAGTGGAACTTGAGTTTAGGAAACAGGTAGAAGTCCAAGGGTGCTAGTTCAGGTGAATTGGAAGGGTGGGGTTAGACTTCAAAGCCAAATTCGTTTGCTGCTGGTGCTTTCCTCCCTTTTCTCTTTGACTGTTGTACTCAACTGTCGCAATTCTGTTGAATAGTACTCCCCATTGATGCTTTAACCCCTTCGCATGTAGTCAATTATGATTACTTCCTTACTGTCCCAGAAAACAGAGGCAAAAACCCTGTCAACGGACGAAACTCGCTAAAACTTCTTGGGGGGCCGGGAAAAATTCTTCATCCATTGTTTGCTCTGCTGTTTTTATTCGGGCTGAAAGTGGCGAACCCAGCTCGTCTTGGGTTACAAATGTTTTGAGGAAATTGCATGGATTGGACTGAATTCGTTCCTTGAAATGTCCAGCCTGTTTAACTTCTGATGTTCAAAAAACATTAGAGGCACCCACCATGCAGACAGTTTTTCATCCCCAGGATGTTCGACAAAACATTGTGAACTGAGTCATAACACAGGCCAAAGAACCTGCTACATGTTGGCCAGTCTCAAATCTGTCATTCACTACCATGTGATGGATGGCCTCAACTGGATTGTCTGTGGTGCTGATTTGTGGCATCCTGACATATGTTCATCTTTTGTGCTCTCCTTGCCGCGCTTGTAGCTAGTAACCCATTTCTTTATAGTTGAATAAGAAGGGGAGTCATCACCGAGTGTCTTGACCATGTGTTTATGGATGTCCTTAGGAGACATCCTTTTTTACCGATACACTTGATCAGAGCTCACGCGTCTGTTGCGGCCATTTTGTGATTTTCCCTCACCCGCCCCATTTTCATGGGGCGTCACGTGCTTATTAATGAATATAAAAATTTGAATTTTTGTGTGCAGTGATGTAAGACGTCATAGTATACAGCTATACCAAAGAATAGGAGTTTGACCTTTATTTTCCAGGTGAGGCCGAGAACTTTTTGAACACCCCTCGTATTATACAGTGTAATAACTACTAGACTGAATTGCCAAAGAAAGAAAACCAACACCTGTGGTATAACTATGGTATCAGCGTCGCGTTTTACAATCAGTTTAACTTACTAAGGTGTGGTCATTGCAAACAGAGCTCTGGGGTTTACATTTTGAACGATTCTGTTGGGAACAGACGTAACTTTCTTGCAAGACCTTGTATACTAAAATGTTGGTCATCAACGCTAAACGGAAGATATCTCCACTCCATCCGTGGATACGATGGTCCTTTATCGTATTTTCCTAACATGATTATGGTAGCCGCGGCGCTTGCAGTAACCTCACGGCCGTCAACCCCAAAGGATAAAAAATTTGGCAGAACAAGCATGGACCAGTTGGCAGCGTTCACTGAGTCCTATTTCAGCAAGTGCCAAATGAACGAACTAAAAAGGTTTCAAAAGGCATCTTGTTACCATGTTGGCAGAGAAAAGTATGTTCTCAGGTCATGTTCATCACACAAGTTCATCCAAACAAAATTTTTCGGAGCAGACCGCCGTGGTCAGATGTCACAAGCTTGCTCTTGGAACACGCGATAGGGTTAAACTGTGCGACCCAGATTTATTTATGGACCTGTGCACGTGTCCACTATACACCTGTTTTTTTTGGCGCCAACCATATTCATAAATGTTGGAGGCTTGGAAAACAGACATCATTAAAATCTTTACCATGGGCGCTCAAGCACTTAGTCGTAAACTATATTCTATGTAGGTATTTTATACATCCATTCTGCCCTTGATTTTATTAGTTTGCACCGTATATTATATGCAATGTATTACACTGTTCTTTCGATACCTGATGTAAATGTTTTCTTTCAGTGTGCCCTTGCTTTGAAAACGTACTTTACTATCTAAAATGTTTCGTCTCTCTCTTTGCACTATCGACACTACAGGGAATATCATTCTGCCTTTAGCCTGTGATATTATAGTACACCATTTAACCCATGTGGGTAAGAACATGCAGATAAAGATGACGATCATCCATGTATTTCTGCAGCCTGTCCCAGCGACCCACGAGCTGCACGTCTCCGGCTCCATCAACGGCCGGGAGTTTGACCTGGCCGGGCGGGGCACAGGCAACGCAAAGGATGTAAGTATGCCTTCAACTGTGATGAGAGGAAAAACAGATTATGATTTAACACAATGTCTGTCCTTTTCACATGTGTTAAACAAAGTAGTAGTGAATAAACATAATTGCACGCCAATCGTACAGGGTATAGTTTATGGCAACAACTATTAAACAGCAAGACTCCAAGACCAATTTATCCTAAATTTATGACTATTATATTTTATTGATAACATAAGAGTGCAGTTATCATCTTTACGTTTGCAGTATTTGGTCTTTTGGAACAAAGCTATTGACCTGTGTGTGTGCAAACATGGTAACAGACATGTTAAACTGAGACAGCTTATAAACGTGAAATATATCAAAGTACACTTTCGGTACTCATTTATTTGATTTTCATCGTAGCAAATAATTATCAAATAGTAACAATGGATAGTATGAAGAAGTATATAATACTACCTGAGTCACACTGTTCTATCCCGCTGTATTGCAGGGTTCAGAGGAGATCCAGGTGAAGTCCACCAAGGGTGCTCTGGGTTTCTCCCCGGTCCTCCTGGTGCCGAACCTCGGGTACGGCTTCCACCAGTACCTGCCCTATCCGGACGGGATGTCGCCTTTCCAGGCCGCCGCGGACGACGGCTCGGGGTAAGGGATAGAGGTGTTTTTACCCTCGCCAATATTGCAAAGTGTTTATAATTTTGGAGCCTTATAATTATAACTTGTGTGTGTGTGTGGCTGTCTGTCTGTCTATGACTAACGAGAAAATGCTGTAATACCATAGTGGTAAATGACTGAAAGAAGAAGAAAAAAATTGACGGACGTTTCATACTTGCGGCGTTTGGAAGTTTAATAAGTAAATGTTCAAAATATTAGGTATAGAGGACGCAAATTAGGGAACATTTACACATCAGATGATAAAATGCTACTATACTTTACATGGTTTGTTTCAGGTACGTAGTCCATCGTACATTGCAGTTTGAGGACGGTGGATCTGTGACGGGGATCTACCGATATTCCTACGACGGAAGCCACATCAAAGGAGAGTTTAACGTATGTTATATAGCTTGTTGTATATAATAACTTCACCTTCTAATCAAATTGTTCGTCATGTTTTTTTTTCGTTGGTATATTTTGTTCTACATGTTGAATGGTTGAAATACTAGTGATTATACCGTATCTCCCCTTCCAAAAATACGTACAAGTATCTGTATCTGTATAGCCAGTATAACACGCTAGCTGTAAAAGTAATACAGGCCGGTAAGTTAGTTTGAACAACCTGTATGTTTCAGGTGACCGGGAGCGGTTTTCCCGCTGACGGCCCTGTGATGACCAACTCGCTGACGGCAGTGGACCCCAGCGTGGCCACGGTGTTCTGTCCCAACGACACCACTGTTGTTTCCACCATTGACTGGAGTTGCACGTACGTGTGTTGTCAGACTTGATTCATTCATCAGCATCAAAAATGAAAAATAGTTTTGTTTTGTTGAGAACTGTTAAATGTGGGAAAATTTTCGTCGACACAATTTTAATGGATATCATTTCAGTACCTCAGCTGTGCAGATCTGGTTAAATGGCATTTCTAATGGATCCGAAAAACGTGATTCAGCTAAGTTATAAGAAGTTAAAACTTCCCACAGACAGGCTATAGCGTATGGTAATTAAAACTAAATGTGTACCTCCCTTTGTATCCTTACACTTACAGCACTACCAGTGGCAAGCGCTACCACGGCACTGTGCGGACCAACTACACCTTCGCCAAGCCGATCGCCGCCAGCTTCCTGCAGCAGCAGCCGATGTTCGTGTTCCGTAAGACGGAGCTGAAGGCCTCCGACACCGAGCTCAGTCTCAAGGAGTCCCAGAAGGCGTTCCATGGCCTGTGATGTGTCTAGTACGGTTGTCTTGCGTTTGCGTAAATGCACTGACCCGAGTAATATTGAAGCCACGGTACGGCACACTATATAGGGTGCCTGTAATGTCTAGATCTCGAAACAGCATTTTCCTACTTTAAGCGAATTTTTACATGTTTTATATATATGACAATCTATTTTCCATGCACTGTACCTCATTCTGGCATCTAACAGTAGTAATGTAAACTACTGTCATACATTCTAATACACTTGATAGAATAGTCCAGATTTGTCTGAAAAAAAGGAGTTTACATCTCTGTTAGTCTGCTGGTTTGTGAGAAAACTTCAAGTATTTTACCTTTCAACGTACTGCGTTTTAAGCTGTTGCCGACATCATGATCGATGCAGTTCAGTCGAAGATGGGGAGGTAAATATCTGTTTTGTGATGAAAGTCGACAATACTTCGGCGTGGAGTTGAATGATTGAGAAAAAAACCGTGTCCGTTCTACTGGTTATGTTATGCATTCACTCAATGTTTTCTGTTAGTATATTGTTACCACAATAATTATTTCATCTCCAGATTGCAGTCTCAAAAATACCAAGTGATGTCAGTTACGACAACACATATATATTACATGCTTTGACGTAAGCTTGTGGAAGCTAAGCGTCCTATTTGTATGTTAACCAACTCTAGTACAGTCATTACTCATATACATTGTGCAGTGTATTATCGACACATTTTCCGTCGACAATAAATAGCAATTAATTAAGTCACTAAATCTAAATTACAGCAGAACTATATCATTAAATGGTTGATTGGTGCGTTCTACGTGAGCTAAATACTGTGACGTCGTAGTTTAGTGCGTCTAGGTCAGCACTTGAAGGGTTTCCGGCCGCCATTGCATGTTGTGGTGCTGGCTGCCTGGCGCAGGACGGCTGTGGTGCTCCTCAGGTCCCGCAGCAGGCCCCTGCCGTCCCGCAGTACCGCGCGCCGCCAGTCTGCGGAGCCGGACTTCTCCTGCAGGCGATAAGCAAGGCCGTCTTGTGGTTAGACTTAAAATGTAAAGGTTCTTGGTTCGAATCCCTAGCAGACCCCAATGTTGTGGTTTTCGGGGAAGACATTGTACAGTAACTTCACTTTACTGGCAGGTCAAAATGAGCACCTATAGCTTCAGTTAACGTTACGTTTGGGACGTCCTCTGATTAGGGATGTAAAGTTAGCGGGCACATGTTTGAGGAGATCCACACCTAGACTACGTTAAAGATCCCGTGAGTAGTATGTCATGAATCCATACGTACCCTTCGCGTCTCCTGGACCCTTCGCTTGTATTGATCTCTCATGGCAGTGTCCACAGTGATGAACTCACCAACAAACGCCATGCAGTGGGACAACTTCTTTTTCTTACGCTGTAGACTGTTAACCTATCCAAAGAAGAAGAATATGAGGACATAAAAGAAAAAGAATTGCCGATTTGAAAATAAAAAAGGACGACAAAAAGTTCTCACATGTGCTCACAATCACCTTGTTTAAGTTACCGGTACGTAGTTTATTTGTTGGCTGAAAGCAAATTGCAATTACGAAGATGTGGAAAACATGCAAGTGACAACGACAGCGATTGTAACATCGGCTAATTCAAATACCACGTGTAGTGCTGGCCATAGCTAGACACGTTGGATTTGTCTAAGTTTGATGTCGCAAGATGTACCCTTTCTATGATATAAAGTACCGTGCATAAAAACTACACTCACCAGTCCCTTGGCGATGTCCCCGTACGTGTCCATGGCCTCCACCTGTTGATAGAGTTTCCGGTAGACAGGTCGCGGGGCGGCTCTCCCGTCCCTCCTCATCTGCCGCCGGATCTCCTCCATAGCGGCCTGAAACACCCTCAGCTCCGTCAGAAGGAGCTGCATACGTTCTACTGGCTGTGGGATGAAGGAACGAATGAAAGAATGGCTTGTTGAAGGGAAGAACAAATGAATGAATGAATGAATGAATGAATGAATGAATGAATGAATGAAAATGAATGAATGAATGAATGAATGAATGAATGGAGAATATGAGAGTGCAATTTACATGTAAGAAACAGAAGATGCTTCCGAAATATTAATCTATTTGTTTATTGAGCTTTTTTTGAGGAGGGATTGGTATAACAAGTCTATAGTCGGCTTTTCCATGTCTTGTTAGTCGTATCATTATCGCAAATGTAAAATGTGTGGACAAATGTCGACTCTTACCTCTGTGTTCTTGATGATGTACCTACTGAAGAGCAGTTTTGAGCTCTCCACGTTATCAGGCGTCAGTGTCACGTTATTCTGGCAACAAAAAGATGTGCAAAAGTCTTAAAAATTGGGAGGGCTGAATTATTCGAAAGGTTGTACAGATTGTGGGTTTGATCTGAGTTTTCCACGAATATATATATTACACAGTTTGCAATCTTGAAAGATGTAATGGAGGCTTCTGTTACAAAACGGTAAAAGGGAAGGGACCAATGATCTTGTCAATTAGTTGTTATGAAGTCAGCTGAAAACAATATCAAGGCACCAGAGCCGCCTTGCGAGATAGCTAAGAATTGCAGAAGAACAACTGAACACTTACATATAGGCGAACTATGGCCCTCTGTCTTCTCGCCATGAGATCTAAAGGCCCGCGGGTCCTGTTGACGAGCTTGCATGCAACGTAGGCGGGATTCGTCCTCATCGTTTTACGCGGTCTTTTTCTGGCTTCCACCGACGCGAAGGGCAGAGCTATGGTCGCCACGCACACCAGCACAAGCAGACGCACGTGCGCCGAACGTACCAACTTCTGTAACCATGGTGAACAGAACGTTTCACGTGACGTCATAGGAACACCACATAGCGCGTGGGCAGAACGCACTGCGTATAGCACTTCTACAGATCATATTGTCGAGGTCGTGTTGGTGTAATCAATGATAATACCCGTCTGCAGTTTTAAAATGCTGTGCGGGAAAATATACTAGTACATTGTATCGACTGTAACGGACAAAATTCTGATGCAACATTGACCAAATATCCAACAAAAACCGTGGTTTCGCGCAGACGCAGTAGATTCTGCCGACGTGCTAGCAGCAAAGAGCCTATCACTGAATAATAGTTCACACATTTTATTTTTCAACATCCAGAGATGTTCTGACCCTACGGGTCCTTGAAATGCAATGCAAGGCCAGCAACATGGCGCCTGGCACCTTCCCGCTTCATTGTTATGTAAATTGCATTGGAAACTCTGCAAAATGTACATCCAATGCAGTCGTCCAAAGTCAACATTTTATTTACTCAATGGCTGGCTTCCAACTTTCTATTCATGTGTAAGGTGGTAATATCGAATTTGCACCGATCGCTAACCAACATGTATCTTTTACACATTGTGAGGATGTGAGATGATCACAGAATAAAATTTTATGTGCTATTTCCGCTCACAAAGTAAAACGCCTTCTAATAAGCTTTCGATCAATTTTGCTGATCCTTCTCAAGTTGAAACGATCAGGATCAGACTGGAGAAGAATCAGAGCACTGATGAAAAGCTTGTCGGTAAGCGCTTTAATCTGTGTACGGAAATAGCGTATCAAATTTTCTTATTGTACCGTCACAGATAGACCTTTTTACAAATTTGAAAACACACATTTGCGTACACAGCAAAAAAGGGTTCCACACTTTTGGTAAAAATAACTTCAAAGTGGTTGCGTCTAAGATCATTTCTGAAGTAAGACGATAAAGCAAAATCCAATGATAAAAGGAAAGACTTGGTAACGTACTAAAGCGTACAAATAATTTGATCACAACATGTGACAAAGCTTGTAAAATACAAAGGAAGTAAAATCTAATCAGTCTGCGCTAAAAGAAATTTCCCCCATTCTCAGGCTTCCATTCTGGTTGAATATAGCTTTGTAATTTCAATGTACATATAAAATTAAGAAAATAAAAAAAAAAGACAGAAAAATTAGATAAACGTGACATACGCACCATTTAAATGTACGAATAATAAAAATGATAACAAAAAATTCTCACCTGAGAAAGCATTTGTTCAACTTCGAGACTTGTCCGCTGTACGTATCTATATTACCTCTGTCAATGGCGGTGTTCAAAACTTCGTTTGCCTGTTTTATTCCATACCATGGGGTCTTTTTAAAGCCTAGCGCGTAAGCATTTTCCAAATTCGTCTCAAAATTATCGGGAAAATTTGAAGAGAGCTATGTCACTCCTATAAGTGGATAAACCCTTTCAAATCACTTCTACATTTTCATGCTGGGTGTGGAAGATATATTTTATGTAATTCCCCCCATCTCTATCCATTTCATAGAAATGACCTAGGGTAGAATTCGAAACAAAAAGTTGAATCAGATAGAGCCACTCAAACAATTAAGTATTCATTTATTCGTAAACGCTTGGATCAAAATTCTCCGTCAAAAATGTCCCCTAAACGAAGTCTATTCTGTCTTGTTATGATTACGCAACGGCTAGCAGTAAATGATAGATGGCTTACGTTTACGACCGGATCTAGCTTACGTTTCTTTTTGCTCATTATGTGCTGTTTCCTGATCGCATATCCGTTTTGATTATACATGTATCATATTTCTAACAGTCGACCTTCCGTAATCGGGTACAATGAACACTGAAAACAGCACATATGAGTCATACAAAATCCCAACTCATGCTCAGGACGGTAAATGGTAGGTGGGTTTGACACGACATCGATCATTAGAAACTCTCGGCATTATAGTGTTCCAGTGAATCATGCTCTCTATTTGACGTATTTTCATTTCATAGAGCAGCGAAGTATGCTGTAATTACTCCTCCGCATATTTGAACAACTAACAAAAAACCTTTCATTCTTAAGTGACAGGAACTATTTCAATTAATTTCTTTCCCGGTATACAGCGACATAGTTACGATATACATAGTTATTCATAATTAGGTGTGGACCTATTCGTAAAGCTTACAAAATAGCACTGACAAATATACCATCTGTGACTCGATGTGGTGTGCTGTTTTTTCAGTACAACTGACGTCACTTCTATCCTAGATATCTGACGCCACATCTATTTTTCTAACCTTGACTGTGATCAATACAAACAGAGCTGTCACGACGAATTTTATTCACTAGACCAGTTCCGTAAAGAGATCATGTAGACCGGTTGACATTATTATAGGAGAATTGAAGAACATTTTCACTTTTAATTCACTAATCCGTTCCGCAAATTTCAGTCCTTGCTGTCTGAAAATACTTCAGTACCCAGGTGAGGTCATTTCTAAGTTAGACCTCACATATTATATCATGTATTATTAGTTCTATATGCTCGTACATATTTAACTGCGTCAAGAAGCGAGAAGAAGTTGAACATGTAAATAGTAGATCGCATTAGTATGTATAGTTTAAGTGCAATTGCTGTATCTTTCTCCTTGTCTATTCATGACCTGTACTTAGCTTGTTAAGAGCACAAATGTACAATAAAGGTCTTTCATTCAATTATAGGGCCTTCCAACGACTACGCTCCCGATCACTCCACAACCAAGATCGGCGTTGGGTCCTGACCGACTTTGATTTTTCAAACTCACCTAATTCAAAGACTCGTAGTCAGCTTCACCAAGAAAACCCGACCACAGATGACCTTGCTCACAACTAATTACCAAATTGAACATAAAGTACTTACTAGATGGTGTGTTGTGCCGAAGGGCGATTATACAGACTTTACAGATGCAGATACGGTCTGGAGAAATTCGGGAATAGGGTCGTCTATGTGTGAGAGGGGCTTAAAACATCCAGTACTACACAGAGAAACAACATCACAGTGTGGATGTATCTACTACATCCCCTTTTCTCCTCATTCCCGTTCTTGTCCAATCTTTTTTTAGCTAAGCACACTCACATTCATAACTAGAATCTGTGTTATTAAAGCGATATTCTGGGTAGCATGCGTCATCTCCCATATCTATACAGTATCAGAAAGTTATTTTTGATAACTAAATAAGTCTGATTAATATGTACACATACGTTTTTGTTGAATGAAAGGTGCAACCAGATTGCAATTATTTCTTCCATTCACTATTAATTCTATTTTTGTCCTCCTGTCTTTTTTGCTTCCATTCCCACCATTCCCATTGTTCCTTTAAAGTAATCCGAATACACACAACAGGGGTTTTTCTAAAAAGGGGAATAAGGGTGCTGCTCCCTTATGTAACCAGTCAGCTCCCTTATATCTGTAATCAATTTTAAGTTTGAACCCTAAGTGGCTACTTACACACCATGTAGTCTTTCTCAAAATGATATTTTGCCAGTAAATATGTAAACACAATACAACAATGCATTCTAGCATTACAAACTGTGTTACTCTTATTAAAAAATCCTCCCTCAGTCGCTTCACTCCCTTGCCATGCTTGTGATCTTCTCCCTCATGCTAAATTTTTCTAGAAAAACCCCTGCAAAATATACCTTTTTCACTGTACAGCGCAAAATACATGTACACGCACATAGACAGTCATGTGTTAAAATCTTTTATTTAATCAAGCTATCTTTAAACAAATGCAACATATTGCATAATGCACTCTCTTTTAATCTGAAGAATCATCGTTAAACAAAACACTCAATGGTTTTCTTATTCCTTAGCACACCATGCTCTTCAAACTATTTTACTAGCACCGCTTCCTCCATATGGACAAAACCTCTTATCAGATTACGTCGATGAAAGTTAGACATCCGGGTAGAACATTGGGTACACATGTAATATAAAGTGAATCAAACAACTGAATAAATTCTCTAGTCTCAGAGAACATCCGCTATCATTTATCAGTGACTGAGAAAGATGAAAGAAGGCGGATGCTACCTTAAGGCACTACAGAGAGCTTATTTTGTTCGATCTCATCTCTTTATTTTAAGCTGGTATAATCTATCAGCTCCTTGGTCTTAAACATTTAACTAACATGTAGGATTTCCTATTTACCATCACGAAGTGTGCGTTATATGAAATTATCTTTATCACCATTAAACGGTGTCACTATATATCCAAATATTGGGTACTTTCTGTCCAATGTCGCTATCACTCACAACACAGTCTGCAAAAGTATACATGTACATGTAACGTTACATATCCTTTATACGTCTTGAATACGCCCACCCACCTGTATGCGAAGTGTGCGTGGTTTAAATGTTTATCAGTCATTGGCTTTTTCACATCTAATCTCCTACCGAGAGTGGTTAATACGCCAGTAGCAAAGGATGCCGGGTAATGTTTTGGCAAACGTCAAATTTTGCCCCATTTCCACAGGATGATCACCGCTGGACAACCGACGAGCGACCAAAAATTATTGGTCATCAATATCATTGACAGACCAGGGAGATTATTCGGCGCTCGCTGAAAAAGCGTTGAGAGATCTTTATCATTTTTGAACGCTCAACGTTTTCTCAACGGTTGCATCTAGAGCTGTACTTCCCCATCTAATATACTATGGCTATGACTGTGTTGACATTTTCGCGACATGTAAAATTTCACTGTTTTGGTTTCTTGACATTTGAACATGTCTACTACTTCGGACAGGGAACGCCTTTCCCGTAACACTTCCCGACTTCCCTTGCGGTGGTTCGGAACGTCTCCAGTGTGGATATGACGTCAAAGCCACGTGATCCGTGGACCAGCTTGGTGATGTCGTCCAGGAGCCCCATGTGTAAGACGCCGAACTTCTTGCGAGCTTTGCCGCGTAGCTTCTCAAAAGGCTTCTTCACCTGTAAGAATACAAGGATGTAGATTCAGTGTTGTAACGTTTCCAAGGGATGTAGCTACGTATACGGCCGGACTCTGCACCCCGACACCGGCACACTATAGTCATATTTCCAAACCAACCCCAGTCCCTCCCTTCAAACAGAAGTTGTCATATGTTGTATCTTACACGTATGCGAGGTCACCAGCACCTTGAGATAAAACTTCCACAATGTTTTCAAGACATCTATTCAATAGACAACACGTGTATTGTGTTGTGTTGTGTTGTGTTGTGTTGTGTTACTCGTGTTGAGGAGTAGTACTGTACTGTGCTCCCACTTACACTTCGCTTCAGCTTCCTGACGACTTTTCTCATCTTCCTCTTGTACCGACTCTGAAGACCATCGTATTCCTCCTGGCTCAGGGAAGGCACGAATGAGAAGCACTCGGCTGCTGTTTTCTCCAGGGCGTCAGAGATGTTATCGAGCTGCACACACAGAGTAAAAGAACGAATGTAGTACTCAGACGTACTACAGCAGTGTGCAAAAGCATTTAAGTACAGTTCAATACAGAGGTTAATCAGGCAATAGACGAAAAATAATCATATGTAGGCAATGCGATGAAACTCTACTGGTACTTTAACCAAGAGACGGGGGCAGGTATAGACTTCCAAGCACTTTTGACCCAGCGCTTACGGTACACCGTGACGGAGACTTACGTGAATGCTGAGGGAGCTCTTTCTCTTCTGCAGCGACTCAACAAGCTTGCCCAGGTCCGTTTTCATCTCTGTGTTGTCGGTGACGATAGGACTCTTTTCCAGAATGCCTAGAACTTTTGCGGCGACCCCCATTTCCTCTGTCATCAGCTCCATTCTCTGGAATGGCTGTTGGGATTTTGAAAGTTAGAATTATTTTGGATTAAACATATAAAAAAGATCCTAACAACAGTAGAGATAAGTTTTGGCAAGTGCCGATGATCTTATACGTAGCCATGCCACTTCATTATCAAACGTAACTTATTCCAATCAGGACTTCATTTGCATAATTTATGAGGAAATGCTAGACTATCTTTCTTTGTTTGTTTAAAATACGACTATTATTGGATGGAGAATAGAAACAACTTATATAATACATGCAAATGCGTAATCAATGAGACAATGAAGCATTTAAGTTTGTCAATCATAAAGGTTAACATATTATTTGGCGAAGGTATAAGATCGTGGAAGTCTATTATGTTTCGTTATTTGTTATTGATTTGTATTCTTCTGTTTCAATGGTAAGCCTTAAATTAGTAATTTGCCAGAGTAACGTTGTCCACCACCATGTTTTGTACTCTTTATGTAGTTTAATAAAACAAACAAACAAACAAACAAACAAACAAACAAACAAACAAACAAACAAACAACATACATCCGTGCCGTTCATGTCAGCTTTGTTGATCATCAGGGAATCTTTCCGTCTCCTGAAGTCTCTCGGCCGAATCTTCACGACCTCTTGAAGAGCTTTTTTCTGAAAAGAATAAACCAAAAATGCACATTCACAAAAGGTTTCTCTCACTGGTACGTCATGAAAATACCTGCGTCGGCCAAAATGCAAGTAATGCGCGTTGCCTGCGAAGCAGCGTTTGGAATATGCGTGGGTGGCGACTGACGCACGTTGTATCGGATCAACGAACGAACTGTGATAATATACGTTAGCTCACAACTCATTTACCTCCCAATGCTTTGGAACCAAACCTTTGATTAACAGTTTGACAGAGATGAATAAGAATTGACTGAGGGCACGTACGTTGTACAGAATTATGCGAGACGAGATTCTAATTCGATTCAGAACCATCATTTTAATGATTTGGATTCAAACACACAGTATTCCTTTAACCTTTGATTCGGTTTCTAGCTTTCCGCTATCCGTTTATATTGAGCACGAGCCATAAAACTCAGCTGTCTTGTCACGGAAGCGACTCTCTCGTCAACAGTTGGGTCTATCATAACCTGCTTGGAAAATTCCTGTGATGACCTACAAGATGAGTGTTATACCGCACTGTATGTCCCGTACTTACGTATTTGTCATTGGAATCGTTTGCTGCTGTGTGGAAGCCAGCCAGCGGGTCCTTCTCCTCTTGGTAAATTTTACACATCAGCTCAGCAGGATTCATGTCTTCATCCTGCTCCGTCTTCTTGCGGTCTTTCTTGCGTCCCGCTTTTCGTCTTCTCCCCTCGCCCTTCGCTTCTGCGAGCTCCAGGACCAACATGGTCAGTACAAGGCATACAGCGATCCCGCGCAGATACATTGTTACTCTGGGAGAAAGGAGAAGTTAGTTATATAATTTTGTTTTCCTTCGTTCAACAATTAAAATTAACAGACTCAAGAAGAAACGTAGAGGGGATAGCAGCGGGAGAGACTGATAGAACGGCATGGCACTTAAGAATAACAAAACTAATAAAGAAGGGTGGAGAAAACTAGTCAAGAAATCCTCTGTGGTGCCCCAACGGTCAGATCTTAAGTAGACTGAGGGATAGATGACTGATGAGGCACTCGGGCCCGCGCGATTATTTACTACCTATGTAGAGCGTTGTTGCAAGAGAGACGTTAGAACTAGGCTCGGTTCCATAGTGTATATACCGAGGAAATGAGATGGTAAGTCGCCGTGATTCATTCAGGGAAATGTGAAGAGCGGAAAAACTAAAAATGACCTCAGCAAAATTACATTTTATTGAATTTTCTACAGTTCTCCAAACGTTTGCTTTCAAAGCAGTAGATAAAGGTCAAACTGGTGAGCTACAAATGTATGGATGGTAAGCCTGAGGAAAGTATCAATTAATGGGAGTGTTGTTATTTCTGTAACCAAATGTATTCAACGTATGTGCCAAAGGCTGTATTCCTCCCCATAAGCCCTTATATAAGGTCATGCCCCCTTTTAGCAGTTGTGTGGGCGGGGAATCCCCTACAGCGCCTGCGCATGTGTCATGTGAAACTACGTTTTACCGTGGTGTAGGCGAGAAGCCTCCAGTGCAAACACTGAAAGTCGTGGTACATGTTCAACAGCTCAAATTAGCGCTACCCTCAAAGTAAACGTCGGCCGAAGGTTGAGTATAGGAAATAAGCTCCCCCCCCTAAATAAAAACATAAACGCAAAAAACGCCGGCCTCAAGATTTATTTGTAGTCAATGACCGGTGCAAATCACGTGACTACTAGGGCTGACAATGAGTAAACTCCAAGCAGGTGGGGTCAAAGATTGTAAGTCTGTTACGAGTACGGAATACCGTTCATTGTTAGCGTTTGTTTTGGGTTTACCAACAATGTTTACTATAAAAACATTATCCGTACTGAAAAAGAATTGACATAAAAAGTCTCGGATTTAGTTAGACAAACGATCGTTCTTTGGAGGACGTTGCAAGTTACCAGTACTTATATACATGTAGCGCAATTGTTAGCAATAATGGGCTTTGCTGGCTTGAGACCGCGGAAAATTCCACTTCCTGTCGGCGTACACATTCGATCCCTACCCACTCTCCTACTATTACTTCCATCATTTCTCCCCTCGTCCCCTCCTATCTCTCCCCAGCCCGGCATTCGTAGCCCCGTCAGTGTGTGTGTGTGTGCGCTCGTGACGGTGGCGACTACCTCATTTTCTGTGTTAGTGTACACAGACAGGAAGTGGTCTTCTCTCTTCGGAGCTTGCGAAGAAGAGAATCATGTCCACCTTGTACACTCTACTTCAACAAGTCTGAAATTTAGGTTACTTCCGTGTAGCAGAAAATAAGGTTTCCGACTCGACCTTTGTTCAACAAGCACCTGAGAACTTTTGTCTCTACATTACATCACCTTATAACTAATAAAGCAATCCGTCAACTCAAATCTTGGTAAAATACATTTGTACTGACCCTAGTAGCATTGACTAGTTCGTCGCATCGTGAAAACACATGGATTATTCGGTAGAAAACTCTTCTATTAGCCGCTACATGTTGTCATGACAGAGTTTAGGTACACAGAATGGGGAAACGAAGTTTGTTACAATGATTACACCTAGTCCTGCAACTAGAATGTAGGAAAAACACCAGAGAGAATTACGGTCTTACTAGGGTTTAACTACAAATGCTAAATCCTTTATGATTTGAATAAAATAGTAAGTTCAACTGGTAGAGGAAGAAAATGCCTACAAGAAATATTTGGTGAACTCGGAAAAGTATGTAGATATTATACACATACAATGATCATGACTTACAATAATGTATAAGCAATCATCATTCAAGATAATACTCCATGAAAAGCACAACAGATACACATGAATTTCTGTCACAAAGATACAAATACTTCATCAATGAGGAAATGATTGAAAAAAGATAATTGATAAATCGAAGAAAGGCTGAACTATACCTGAAATTCGGAGAACCTCAATACTTGATAGACGACAAAATCGTGGCATTTTATACTCCAAGTCATGTGTTTCCCCAGATTTGAGTATAATTTTAGTACCTGATTCATCATCATTGTACGGGACATTTTCAGTTCACCGTTTGAATGACCAATATGCTGAAATCCAGGAATTTGTGCTTCTGGGAACGATGCGTCAGTGGGGGAAGTCCCGTTCCCAGGTCAGTCTGTGCAATGACACCTGTTGGATTCTATTTTCACAGCTAGAAAGTACCTTGTGGAAAATTCCACGCGTAATTTTGACTCATGGTCAAATAGTAAAACGAGAAGCTAGAATGGACCCCATCACACCCAATCAAGGACGGGAAGCGATGAAAACCAAGTTATACGCAATTCAGGTTAATTACGGTCGACCTGTAATTTGATCCGTAGAAAGAGGAAGAGCTACCGGAAATGTGGCTTTCAAAAGGTCACATTTTGCCCTACAATATAAAATAGCCTGCTAAAAAGTACAACATTTCCCTACAGCATCTCATTATTCATACTTAGGATCTCGTCAAATTCGTACGATCGTAAACTTAGGGCATTCTTGAGATATCCGTGCATACATACATGTAGTACAAAATCTAGCTGCGTTGTTACGAAAAAAAAAGCCTGTCTTGAATCTTTGTCGGCATTTGGTTCTGTCACAGCCTGCTGGAAAATTCTACGACACGAAAATTGTACGGAGAATGTGACTGCACCGGGCGGTAAATCCCCAGCACGCTTCTTGTTACGGAAACGATTAAGTAACAGTTTGAGTTTGTGTAGGCTGGGTCAAATTACAAACCTTGTCATGGAAACCTGCGTCACACATACATTTACATACTTTCTATAGAATAGTACGATCTCCTTATGTCTGACCTCACCAAAAAGCCCAAACTCTTCCTTATTCATGCATGTAGTCTGTGAAAAGAGGCTTCGCTAAATAAGTTGTACCTTAATTACATCAATTACGTATGGACTGCTGTGCTCGGCCACACACATGGCACAGTGCACATATACGTTGTTTTTTTTTAATCATGGTGCCGCACATTTACGTTGTAGATCTGAGAAGAATCGGGTGCAAGGGTTTATTAATGATTAACCTATTGTATCAGTTTCTATCGAAACCTATGGCATATGGCACGATCGTCGCGGAATTAAATAAAATATCATCTTAGAAGCATCGTACGCTGTATGTGGCCAGATTCCTAGACCCTTGACCTCCTGTCTTTCTGTCTGGATTTGAACATGTACGAGACACGGTAATCCCAGGGTACATCATTTACTGGCAACCCGTTTTCATTCAGCGAAGTACAGTGTACAGCCGACCAAGGGTTGCGCTATCAATTTGCATCTAATTCCGAGCCCTTGAGAGAGGATCTGGACAGGAATATCGCGTCGGCTTTCACAGGCGAGAAAACAAGCTCGTGTGACAGGAAGAGCTGTAAAGTTGCTGACATATTTCTATAGGCCTGCGTCAAATAATAGATGATGGGGGGGGGGAGAGTAGAGAAAAAACAAGGCAATCAGAGATGGCGACCTTCACCTGTTACCTATGCCGCTCTGTGACATCTTTGGTCCCGCAGACAATAACAACAGCACTCAGCATGTATAGCAACACTGTATCATGTGAAGTTAAACACACCCAAGAGAGAGACAGAGGCTTACAGACAGACACTCCAATAACAACATTTCTCTCCCTCGTCCTGATATTGCTTATTAGTAACAGAGGAGTCTTTCAGAGTCCTGGAGGCTATCATATGTGTGAAATTAAATCATTTGAGGACATGATTTCATTTTACACATATACGTCACCTCCAGGTTTCTGATAAATTCGTGATTGAATTCTAATTTCCAACCATATGGAAGACAATCTCTACACATAATGATGTTAACATGACAACAAGCCATAAGCTTCTGGGTACATGTAATAGAACAGCGCGTGCCGTCGTTCCTTATGCCATTGGTCGGTGTGACTGATTGTTTAAGGCCACACCGATTTAATTTTATGGATGACATCCGCGCGCGCATTGATTTTCGCCCGATCTCAAAAAAAAAAAAAACATCACGTCTTCCGAGGCTCTGGACTGGCTTTAAGCCTGGGTAGTCCATGGTAGTCAGAGACAATACGGAGCCGGGCACCCAGGCTACCGAAGCTCCACGACTCAAGAACTCAGTACATACGTACAGTACCGATTCATAAATTCCGAAAAAAGCCAGCATGTATACGTCACTATGTAATGCGCCAAATTCACAATACCAGCTTTGTACTCCTGTGGTTTTAGTAGCATTTTTATTTTTGGCCGGATTTTTCTTTTTTTCGCCCGCACGCACTAGTTTGGGGGTCTTCAGAGGATGTCATCCATAAAATTAAATCGGTGTGGCCTAACCTCTGTGAACATGAAGATGTTTTTTTCCGTATGTCAGCCTTACCTTTAAGACTTACGTAAAGCCATTGTCACACATTCGGAACACCAGCCGATCAAGGTTGGCTAAAGATCGAGCAGTCTCGCCAGATTTAGGTCACGCCTACCTTTCGCTAATACGAATCGAATCGGAATTGAGTTAAATTTGAGTCAAATTTCACTGCCAACTACTCTCCGACAACACCAGCCGACCCAGGCGACCCTGCTCCGGACCTACTTCTAACCATTCTTCAACCCCCAGCCATCCTGGAGTTCGGCTAGTGTTCGAGAGGCCACATTCGGCTCTGTGTGACAGGGGCTTAACTTTCAGACATGTCGGTGCCAGAACGTTGGTCGTTTCCACGCCGACAAGAACGTTCAAAACACGACCTTTTGTTCACCAATGAGAACTCGATGGACACACATCTATCGGATATCATACCTGTGGACTGAATTGAACTATAATTGACAAAAGCTCGAAGTATTATTCACGGAGGTATGAGATCTCCGTACTCTCGTTTGGATTTCAGGGCGCAATACAAAAGGAGCACCCGGCAGCGATTGCTGGTGTGGCGCACTCCTCATTACACGTTCAGAAATCCATTCTTGTATTGCTAGGGGCTGACACTAATATTTCAATAAAACCATAACCATACTAAAGGTCAGCCAGTCTTTGATGAAACCTTTAAAACAACTTTGATCTTTCCGGTGGTAGAGAGCATGTTTAAGGTGCAGTGAGGCAGACAGAGATTTACATTAAGATACGACATGAGGATTACAGCCAGCTAGCCTCCCATTTGGCCGCGTTGTTGTGATAAGCGTATGTTTATGACCTATGAGGCAAAATGCTGAAACTAACTGTCGTTGGATTTCAGTAAACCCCGCGTGTAGCACACGATGTTTAAGTTTATAACATCAACATTGTATGGCGATTGTAATGCTAAATGTAAAGATTCCCGGGGCGTGG